GAGGGAAATGTGGATGCATATACAGACAAGGGAATGATTATAAAAACTGTTCTCTAAGAGATTAAATATCAATTAAAATATGAAAATGATTTCTGGTGCCATTTACCTTCCATTTTTCATGCTGTAGCTGCACGTTGTGTATAGCAACTTATTGGACTTATCACTCTTTGCTGAAATAAATTTATACATATCTTCTACTGCAAAAGAGTCTAGAGCACTTCCAAAGGTGCAGAAATTTATCCTGTTTGATTGCAGATACCTGCGTAAGGATGGCATGTCATTAATGTGAATCTGTTGGGTGTTTGATCACAGATACCTGCGTAAGGATGACATGTCATTAATGTGTATCCATTGGGTGTTTGATCACAGGTGCCTGCGTAAGGATGGCATGTTTAATGCATACTTGCTGGGTATATATGGCTTGGTAAGGGACTTTGCCATTGCTCACTCTTTAAGGACAACCAAAAAGAAGACCAAATTGCTTTTGCTAACTTTCCAATTTCAACCCACTAACTACAATTACACTTGAATGTTTCCCATGCTCATTTAGGCTATTTCTTTAAGCCAATTTTATTTTATTTGTTTTTAAAAATTTGCTAGGAGACACAAGGACTCGCTGGGGAAACAGACAGAGAGAGAAAGAAGGAAAATGAGAAAGGAATCCTGATGTGGGGGACAGTCATGCCACAATCCCTTCTCCTCTATGTCTCCTTCCTTTTGAGGTTCTGAGTATGCATGCACATGCACCCCATATTTCAAGCCACTGGTGTAGGACACGTGAGATTCAGCTGCCTCAACCAGCACACCACCAGCTAGGCCATTTACACTATTACTTTTGTTTTTTTTTTAATTTACAGTTTTTGCCATAGGGTGCCAGGTCATTTACACTATTACTTTTGTTTTTTTTTAATTTACAGTTTTTGCCATAGGGTGCCTGTGCTCACTGGAGAAAGACAGAGGGAAAGTGAGATATCATGACCCGGGGGGATGGCTACGACGCAATCCCTTCTCCTCCATTCTCCTCCTGAGATACTGTGCACACACGTACACACACACACACACAAACCTGATGTGACTTCCAAGTCGGCAAGCCCAAGACTCAAACCACAGTAGGCCATGTGGGAGTCCAGTATCTTAACCACCGTGCCACCTGCTGGCCCCCACTTAAACTATTTGTAATTCTTCCACTCAGCTGGCAACATGCTAAGAATATGTTTAATGAGCTGGAGTCTTTTGTTTGCTTTGTTGATTGTACACACAAACACACACGTATCTCTCTACGTCTATATACATTTAATGACAGGTATGTGTGTGTGTGTGTGTGTGTGTGTGTGCGTGCGTGCCCAGTGTGTTTTTCAAGCTGATCGGAATCCTGATGGGCAAGTGGCTTCCAGCACAGCAGTCTAGTATGCTACGAACTGACCACAGAGCCTGGGCCAAGTTGCTATATTTTAAACTTATTAAAAAAGACATCCTATATAGGGCTCCAAAGTCCCCAACATCTACTTCTGATACTGTGATGATTATTTAATGGAAATTAACAGATCATTTTAAAGAAAGGGTTTTTTAACTGAGCTGCTATGAAACCTAAAAAGGACCTCCTGAGAGTTAAAACAATAGCGTATTCATATCAAACAATTTTTTTCAGGGGATGAGAAGAAAATCATAGAGAAAGATTTGGTAGCAACCATCCATTAATAAATGAACAAAGAGATGAAGCTGATCAGCAGTTGCTGAATTATTGAGCCCCAGGCCCATCTGCTCCAGTTTTATGAGTAAAATATCAAAATTTCATGAACTGGTAAATACTCAATCTTCACAAACATCAGAGTCAAATTAAGGAAATTATCCAACAGGCCAAATGCAGCTCAGCACAGTCTCAAACAACTTAAACAAGAAATGTACATCTTTGGTATAAGGAACAATACTCACCAGGATCTTGTGCAAAAGGAGGAGTAATAGCCAGATGGCACGATCAGCTCTGACGCTGGCAGCGTGCTCCTTGGCACAGCGGGTCCAAGTCATGTGGAAAGTCAAGGAGGCTCTTGTAGAACCATCAAACTAAGACTCAGAAAACCTATCCGGAACAAAGGGAAGACGACTTTGGTCAAGATGGACAGATAGTATAGGCGTAACAGAAACATCAGGGATATCGAAAGGGGACGAAGCCAGGTACTAACCATAAACCTACCATTGCTTCATTGTGGCGTTACGCATTGTAAGCTCTTGGGACCAGCAGATGGCGGAATGATTATGCCGCTGGACTCCCACGGAGTTGACCGCAGTTCAAGTATCCAAAATCATGAGAGGAGAATGGAGGAGAAGGGATTGCAGAATGGCCATACACCCGGAGGGTGATGATTTCTTATTTTCTGTTTCTGTCTCTCCGGCGAGGGCACACACCCTTTGGCTAAAATCTGTCTCTAAAAACAAAAATTTTTAAAAAAAGAGTTGTAAGCTCTTTTGTTTCCTCTGGAAAATGAAGGGTGGCACCCACGTCAGAGGCTACCCAAGATTAAACCAGAGTCTAACCCTCGACACACCAGAGCGACCTGTAACATATTGTCGGCTTGCTCGAGCAAACGCTAAGAGAACTCGTGAAGAGTGTCTGTCACATGGCAAGGTTGCACCATTAACGTTAAAATTACTACAAAACCACTAAATCCCTGTCTTATGTCTAAATTTGCAATGTACTTGACTTCCAAGTGTCTCCCTTAGGACTGGAACACATGGACAGTGTGTTATATTTTAAACTTATTAAAAAAGACAGCCTATATTGGGCTCCAAAGTCCCCAGCATCTAATTCTGATACTGTGATGATTATTTCATGGAAATTAACAGGTCATTTTAAAGAAAGAGTTTTTTAACTGAGCTGCTATGAAACCTAAAAAGGACCACCTGTTAGCTATGCATTCGCATCACTGTTTCTGAACACACAGGAGGACATTTCCAAGTTCCACGTCCAATTGCTCTGAGACCATGACACAGAGTTCTATGTTCATTTTTGATTCCTTGTTGATAAGTTCTACAGATTCTATAACTTTCTAGTTTATATTTTAATTGTTAAAACATTGTCCAATTTAGCTAAAAACTGTAGTGTTCAAAGCTCTCCACAAAGTGGTACTCTGCAAATGACCCTTCCCCTGCGCAAGGCAGAATTACAACCCTGGCCTTCCAGAATAGAGGATGGGGATGACGAGCCCCTCCTCCTCCAGATAGAGATTCTGATGTTGGAGTGAGGGAGGAAGGATGAGGATGCCCTTCCCCAGTGACTTCTTGAGTAGCTGTCCATGTTGGTGATGTCGCTTTTGAGGATGAGTTCCTGGCCTCACTCTGGTTCATTCAGGCTTTATCAAATGTCCACAGCCTCATCTGATGTGCTGGCCTTCACATCAGCACACGCTTTTCCTGGAGGTTGTACTAATCTCTCTGGCTCTCCACAGGAGCCTATCTGATGGAGCCTTGCCTGCTGGACAAACCTCGTCCCCACCTATGGGTCAAGGGTCTCTTTCCTAGGCCTAGTCTCTACTCGGGCACCCCTCAGGTGTTCCCCCTCCTCTAACACTCCAACTCCTAGATGGGAAGTCTCAGAAACTATTAGATCTAAAACCCACTGAGAGCCAAAATAAAGGAACTGTTGTTGGCAGGTGCAGCATGTTCTTCCCACATGACAGCCCCCTCAGGCCTGGAGGTCTGTGCACAGCAGCAGCCTTCCACCTCCAGACCCTTGTACAACCAGGCACCAGCTCTGTGCTTGTGAACACCAAGAGAAGCCACTCCGAGAGAATCACCCATACGAGCCTCACATGTTTTCTGAGAAGAGTCCTCTGACCCAGGCCTTGTCACAGAGGGTGAATTCCTGGGAGAGTGGAGTTTAATAAACACCTTGTGTTTATTGACAATCTATCTGGTTATTGTTATTCCATTTGCACAAGATCTAGGTGTGTATGGTTTTTTATTTTGGTTTCTCTATGTTCCCTGTTCATATTGTTTGTTAATGTGCTGAGCTGAATTTGACCCATTGGGTAATTTCTTTCAATTGACTGCCCGCTCTCCCCAGAGTTTGCTCTCTGTGCTTTGGAGGAAGCCCCAGAGTGGCCCCGCTGATTTTCCAGCTCAGCAAGTGTTTTGTCAAGGAAGCAGATGACCCTTTTCTTCTCAGAAAACACTCCTGGTTCTCATGGGCACTTCTCTTGGGTGGCTTCTCTTGGCTCCCCTGCACTCCAAGAGGAAAGGGGAAAAGCTTCTCTCCAAGAGCAGGACGCTCCCCACAAGGGCAACCATGTGACCACTGCTTCCATTTCAATCCCTTTCTCATTTAGACTCCAGTGGGGCTGTGGGAAGGCAGTCACTAGTGGAAAAGGGACCATTTCTTCCAGTTCTCCAAAACCTCCAGGGAAGTATCTAGGCCCAAAACAGGCAGTTCCCTGTGACTTCTCAGAAGGCAGAGTCTTCAATGCTTTCTGTTTTCTGCTTCAGCCTTAACTCAATTCTGGTACAAAGGCAAGAATTTGGGGCCTTAATACTAAGTAGTCCCGTACAGCATTATTGAAGTCAGATTTCTAAGACAAGAACAACATCTTATCCCAAAACAAAGGCAAGAAACTGCTGGCTTTGGGGTCTTAATATTAAGTAGTCCCGTACAGCATTATTGAAGTTATATTTCTAAGACAAGAACAACATCTTATCCCAAATATTTTATCAGAAAGACATTTTCCCCCTAAGTTTAGAGAACTATGTCTGGCCTCATGATTCCCTCTCTAAGGTAGGCCAAGCTATATAAAGGGAGGCATCATGTTTACTCATTCTTGTATCCCCAGAAACTCACAAGCCCTTAACACATGCTAAGTACCCGGCAAACTGGGAATCAATGAATCAGGAGCTGAATCAATGAATTAAATCATTTCCCAGTTTATTGGTCTCTGCTACAGCCCAGGTCATCTAGAAAAGCAGAACTGAGAAGCTAAGTCAAATGCTTTACCGGAGAGACGCAAGCCGGGGGGAAGGTGGAAAATGATGGGCGTGAGGCGAAGAAGGAGCAGCCCAGCAAGCAGCAGTGCCTGGACTTCCCTGGCCCTTACTCTGTATGCAAGACATGCGAGGGGGCAGATTTGGGCTGTCAGACAGAAATCGTCTGAAAGAAATTCCCTGAGTGTGAGACTTCTCTAGAGAGCTGGCAAGAGGAGATTGCGTCAGCCACCTAGGAAAGAGAGACAAGGTGGTTTATCTCTCCAGCTCCTGCTCTCGCTGGGCGAAGGTCAGTCTGTGGGAAATGGCTTTCCCCAACTCCCAGGTCCTTTCACCTGACCCCTTGGCAGTCGCTCAGGAAGTCAAGTCCCACGCCCCACAGCATGGCATTCGTTCCAAGTCCAGAGATGAACGGACTTAACTCAGACTTGGTATGGATTCACCTTATAGGTTCAGAGCCTCTGGTCACATTCCAACCTGCATAGAGCACCTGGCAGGAACGCTGGAGCGTAAGCAGCTGCACACAGCTTCAGAGGCATTCCACACCTTCAGGAAGTATGGAGGTTAGGGCACTGAACCCCACAAGGCCAGCTTCACTGTTCAAGTTCCACATCCAGCGGCTTGAGACTCACGCTGGTTGTGTGTGCATGCATGCCCAAAATACCAAGAGGGGAGTGGAGGAGAAGGGATTGCCATGCGGCCATCCCTCCTAGGGTGAATTCTCATTTCACTTTCTTTCTCTGGTGAGTACACTCAACTCACCCTATAGCAAAATAAATAAAAGGCTATCCAAAAAAGTGCACAAAGTTTATATTGAGCACATTGGCTTACTACCTTTTCTCTTTGAATTCACTGAGCAGAAAACTATCAGTATGTTTTGTGACTTAGAGCTACTCAGAGACTGTACTCTGCAATTTGAAGATAGAGAACATTGGATTCGATTTAGCGCTGCCCAATTGCTTACAGTTTCATGTTACCCCGAACACCAAGATACATTTACCTTCTCCTGGCATGAAATTAAGTTTTGCTACTTGCCCATTCTGATTCTCAGAAGTTCTATTCACTCCCTGCTCAGAAATGGGAATGGTGTTGCTTTTGATGGACTTAATCAGCAATGAACTTGTGCCAGTTCCTGGACAAGCCAGACACTCGTTCTGTCATTCTCTGATCGCTCAGAGAGCCCCACCCAAAATACCAAGAGGGGAGTGGAGGAGAAGGGATTGCCATGCGGCCATCCCTCCTAGGGTGAATTCTCATTTCACTTTCTTTCTCTGGTGAGTACACTCAACTCACCCTATAGCAAAATAAATAAAAGGCTATCCAAAAAAGTGCACAAAGTTTATATTGAGCACATTGGCTTACTACCTTTTCTCTTTGAATTCACTGAGCAGAAAACTATCAGTATGTTTTGTGACTTAGAGCTACTCAGAGACTGTACTCTGCAATTTGAAGATAGAGAACATTGGATTCGATTTAGCGCTGCCCAATTGCTTACAGTTTCATGTTACCCCGAACACCAAGATACATTTACCTTCTCCTGGCATGAAATTAAGTTTTGCTACTTGCCCATTCTGATTCTCAGAAGTTCTATTCACTCCCTGCTCAGAAATGGGAATGGTGTTGCTTTTGATGGACTTAATCAGCAATGAACTTGTGCCAGTTCCTGGACAAGCCAGACACTCGTTCTGTCATTCTCTGATCGCTCAGAGAGCCCCACCCTCTGAGCCCATGGAAAAGATGCTCTTGTCCATTTTACATACCTTTCGAAGGATGGTGATGTCAGGGACCTTCTGCATTGGAGTTCAGAGGGAAGACTGCAGAACGCATGAACGAGGTTGTCTGGACAGAAAAGAGAGGATAATACTGAAAACATGTAGAGCCTGGGTGATTTCCTCATTCATCTTCGGTTGATGGAAGACAGTCTGGTGCTAAGTGAAGGATGGGCCCACAGTAATGAAGCTGTCGGCAGCATTGAGAGCAGCCTGGCCATGGCACATAGCTCAGAATTACGGCAACTGCCAGACTGTCAGAAGCCATCAATTGCTCCCGATTCACCTGCTGGGCTCGGAGCCATGGGCCATAGGGCTAAAACATCATTCTCCCAGATGAAACCCACACTTACCTCTTTATCACTGGGATCCTTCCGCCAAACATCTCCATTGATCAAGTCCCGTTCTTTCTCCAGGAACAGAGCCATGGAACACAGAGTAGCGTCATCATTCTTCCTCACCGTTCACATCTACCAAGGCATTATTTCCTTCTTTTCAGACAGTTTCTGACTGACAGCCCAAAGCTGCCCCCTCTGTGTGTCCTGCATACAGAGTGAGGGCCAGGGAAGTCCAGGCAAATCTGTTCTGAGTTGAGACATTCTCTCCATCTTGTCTGCCATCTTTTCTCCATCTTTTCTTCTTGATCAAAAGGCCCTTCATGGCCACATCTACGGAAGTGCTCTGCCACTATGCCATGCTGTGTGCCATGGAGAGTGCCTCATCTGTGAACTGGAGACCACTTAACGGACCTTCTGAATCCAATGCCTCCTATTCTCAGTTTAGCCTCACCCAGTGGAGCCAGCGGGTGGTGTAGTGTTTGAAATGCTGGAATTTCACATGACTGACCGTGGTTCGAGTCCTGAACTCGGTGGTTTGAAATTCTGTGTGTGTGTGTGTGTGTGTGTGCACGTGCGCACGCACACATACACCCAGAATCCCAGGAGGAGAATGAAGGAGAAGGAATTTCGTGGTGTGGCTATCCTCTCTGGGGCGTAATTTCTCACTTTCTCTCTTTTTATCTCTCTGTATCTCCAGTGAGCGCATGTACCCTCTAGAGAAAAATCTCTTTAAAAAAAAAAGCTCACCCAGTGAAGTGAGGTAGAAACTACCCTAACATTGTCATTTCATAGATGAAAATACCTAGTTGGTACACATTTCTTATGAATAGCAATTCAGCACTGGGTGTTATCAAACTTCCTTATAACACCTACTGGACCACAACACACAAGCTGAATTACTCTTTAATGGAATCGGCATTCAAGGACCCGAACATCGACTTCAACTTCCTGGGGAGAACACCTTTCTTTTTGGTCTAGCTCCAATGTCATCATAATTTTCATTCGAAAAAAGAAATGTAGTGTCTAGAAACATTTTTTTTTCTAAATTCTCCAGTATACTCTTTTAAAAATATTATGCATGAAAATGTACCCAATGGGACCAGTAGATGGTGTAATGGTTACATCTCTGGACTTCCACATAGTTGACCGCAGTTCGAGTTCTGGACCCAGCAGCTTAAAACTCACACCAGGCACATGTACATCATGCCCCAAATCCCAAGAGGAGGTTGGAGAGAAGGGATTGCAGTGTGGTCATTCCTCCTTGGGGTGATTTCTCACTCTCTGTTTCTCTGGCGAGCACACAAGCCCTACAGCAAAAGTGGTCTGGACTGGCTGAGGCTGGGATTGAATCACAGAATGAGAACCCTCATGTCTCTCTTTTTCTCATGAAGGAAATAAATATTTTTAAAAATATAACTCCCCCTAGTCCATAAGGAAGTTGATTTTTTTCAAAAAAAATATTGTATATTTACTCTCAATAAGTAACATTTGGTTCATCCTTTTAACTTATTCATCTTTCTTTGTTCCTATTTTTTGTTTGTTTGTTTGTTAAGGTTTTTGCCATAAGGAATGTGTGCTCACCAGAGAGCGACAGAGACAGAAAGTGAGGAATTATTCCCCGGGGGGATGGCCACACTGCAATCCCTTCTCTTGGGATTCTGGGCATGCATGCACATGTGCCTGACATGATTTTCAAGCCATTGGGTCCAGGACTTGAGTTGCAGTTGGCCATGTGGGAGTCTAGCGCCTTAACCATCATACCACCTGCTGACCCACCTCTCTTTGACTCTTATTCTCATCTTGTATGTTGACTTTCCCTTCTGGCTTCCCAATTCCGAAATGTAATCAATGAGTTATATCCTCGTTCGAGCCCTTAACAGGAATGGGCAAGTAAAGGTCAGAGCCTACAAATACCTTGTAGAGACAGAGTTCAAAGCTGATAGTAATACTTTAGATGATGTCTTTAAGTGTGTATTTAGTTACTTATGAATCCAAGTAACTCTATTCATTTCACCATTTTCACCTCAACCCATGAAACACTTGCTAGCCTCTACAATGTGCCAGTCAATACGAAATGCCAGACTCTGTGCTTTGCCCTCAAGAGCCCCATAGTCGAATGGGACAATGAAAGTAAAAAATATTTCCTCATGAAGGGTGTGACAGTACAAGAGAATCTGGACATGACCTGAGCTCAAGAAGCATCAGACTTTACCCAGAATTGTTGAGGAAATCCCCAAGCCTGTGAAGTTTTTCCCTCCTCTCTGTTTTTCTGTTTTTTGTTTGTTTGCTTGTTTTTTTGTTTGTTTGGTTTGGGTTTTGTCTCAACAAAATGAAAATGTAGAGACTGTTACTATAGTCCTGATTGCAAGGGTGATGTAGAAGGGAAAAGATGGCCCACCCAAGTATGGGTCATTCCACACAATGACCTCCCTTTCTAGTTCTGGGTGTCCCATCCTCTTGCTCTCAGACTTCTAGTGCCATAGGCATTAAAGGAGAGTTGGTCTACAATGGGTGAGACACATGACACAGAGAGGCGTCGTCCATACTGGACTGTCAATGGACCATATTGTTGGTGAAGGAAGTACAATGAAAAGTCAAGGAGTAAGCCATGCCACAGGGATTGTGTGGTCCTTTCTCCCTCTAACACCCTCATCAGGCCTCTATTGTTCATTCCTAGTCTCCAGACTGGAAGATTTAGCCTTATACATTAAATATTCTTACAAACCTTTTGTCTAGCCAAGGTTCATTGTCATTTCCCTGAAGTCTTTAGACTCTAAATCCAAAGCCAACAACAGACAGTTTTTTTCACTGCTTTTTTTGATCTGTCATCACTTACCTCAAGCAATATTTGCGGACAACCTCACTGGCTCAAGGGCCAAGGTTGGAAAGGAAAAAGAACATCTTGACTAGTATTTTTAAGGTATTATCCTACCTCAGATGAGTAAGCAATCCTCAGTGGATGAGAAGAGTCTTCCAGAGAGAGCACAGCACATGTGAAGTGCATGAAAAAGCACCACTTAAGAGCAGCTTGTCCAATACTGTACTAAAATACAGATATTTTCTGTCTAGTGGGTTTCTCTCATCAAATAATTCAATGACAAAATCCAAACAAAGGAAACTCGAGGCATCTAGCAAACTAAGTTGTTTGGAACACGGCATTTTCAATAATTTCATCTTCCTTTCCAGAGTGCTCGCAATTCATCTCTAAGTATTTCATTCCTGAATTTAGCCAGTGATAGATGTCATCGTCACTGATGTGTTCTTTTCAGAACTTATCTTACTCCCTGTTTTGAAAATTAGTGATTCTTTTCATTTTTATCATTCAGCACCTTTTTCACTTCTAGCATTTTGACACTCAACAAGTATTACTTTTTATCGAGAGAGGGTGCATGCACTCACCAGAGAGAGAAAGAGAGAGAGACAGAAAGTGAGAAGTCATTCCCAGCAAGGATGTCCACACCACAATCTCTTCTCCTCCATTATTCTCTCAGGATTTGGGGTACACAAACACACACGTGCACACACACACACACACACACACACACACCTGGTGTGAGTGGCAAGCCACGGGGGTCCAGGACTCTAACTATGGTCAGCCATGTGGGACTCCCACTATTACAATGTACTATTATACCATTTGCTGGTCCCAACTATTACTTTTTTTAAAGACAGAGTCTCTGTCATAGTTCTCCTGTCTCAGCCTTGTGAGTAGCTGGGACCACAAAGGCATGCCACCACACCAGGCTCTTTAGTTTAGACAGGGTCTTACCATGTTGCCCAGGAGAGCCTAGAGCTCATGGTCCTCCTACCTCAACCTCCTGAAATTGCTGAGATTACTGGCCCACAGCACCTCACCCAGTCTTTAGGTTGAGAATCAAACCCAGGCCTCCAGTGTCACCCCAGCTGCGAAGCACAGCCTCTGAGCAGCATGCACCACCATGGCTGGATCTTTAAAATTATAGCAATTTCTTGAGTCCTTACTGTGTGACAGACACTGTCCTAAATGTTTACCTTTACTAAAATTCTGGTTGGTAATCATGCCTTTCATTTCCAACTGGAAGATCATTTTCATGATGTAGAAGATGGAAGCAAAATAAACATTGAATCATTCCCCTTCCTTACACGAGTCAACAGAACACCATTCCCCCTCTAGACCGCAGGCCAAGCCTTTGTTGTACAATCAGCTCATTACCCTTCACAGTAAACCCCATGGGGGGGGGCTCACAGGACCAACCTCCATTGCTCCCGCTTTCTGAGAACTACATGATACATAGGAGTCTAAACTTTATCTTTCTCTGGGTCTTTCCATGCTACTTTACCCTCTTATGCTGGCTGCACTTATTATAGTAACAGTGGTCTTATAATAGAATCCAGGATTTAAAAATCCCTTAAACTTGGAGTTCCCATCAATTATTAGAAGACACCTTTTCCTTCCCAGGTTGAATAGAAAAGCACTGAGCCATCCCTTCCTTGTTCTTCTTGCTTATATATAGTAAACAAAGAGATCAGCATATGACGTAGTAGTTATGTCTCTGGACTCCCATATAGCCAAGCATGGTTTGAGTCCCAGGCCCAGTGGCTTAAAAATCACACCAGGCATGTGTACATGCATGCCCAAGATCCTGGGAGGAGAATGGAGGAGAAGGGATTGCAGTGGGCCACCTCTCCTAGCGGGTGATTTCTCACTTTCTCTCTCTCTCTTTTCTCTCTCTCTCTCTCTCTCTCCCCCTCCCTCCGACCCTCCCTCCCTCTCCTCTCCTCTCTCTCCTCTCTCTCCAGGGCAAGCACATGTACCCTAAAGCAAAAATCTCCTGAAGCACATTTTACTGAGCTGCACTGATTCTTTTTTTATTTTTTTGGAGAGATTTTCGCTATAGGGCGTGTGCGCTCGCCAGACAGACAGAGAGAGACATACAGACAGAAAGCGAGAAATCACCCCCCAGGGGGGATGGTCACGCCGCAATCCCTTCTCCTCCATTCTCCTTTCGGGATCCTGGGCACGCACGCACACGCGCCCGGCATGAGTTTTAAGCCACCGGGTCCAGGACGCAAACCGCGGTCGACTACGTGGGAGTCCAGCGACATAGCCATTATGCTAACTGCTGGTTCCCAAGCTGCACTGATTCTTCATAGTCCAGTCCATATTATCTTTGTACGTTGGATCTCTTCTTTAGTATTCATCCTTAATATACTATTTCA